CTATTGTATTCAAATCTATTAATATGTATCATTTTGACATTCCATGTTCTTGGTACCCAAATTTTGGAGGGGAAAATGCCATTAGTCTGACAATGTCCCTTGTTTGTGATTTGSACTGTGAGCAGCAATGCACTGCCCCTTTCAGGTGTGCTGACTGAATATTTTACGTAATACAACGAGCACTGAGTAAAGAATTACTCATTGTTTTAAAAATACATTCAGTATGTTTTAAAGAAGCATTTGTGTTCAGAAAAGAAGCCTTATCTAAACTTGCAGAGGTTAGCAATGTCACTTCACATTTATTTAAAGAAAATGACTGAATAAATCTGTATAAACAGTTTTACGAACTGTTGCATAATACACTGACATTTTTCCCTTCTTTCCCAGRGGGAAATTGCTGTATTACTGCTCACAATAACAGAGTATGATTGCAAAATTAAAGGTACTTTATTTATGTGACTTGTRTTATCATGTACTTCAGTACATTGCCTGTGCACTTGCAGCACTCTCTGTGTTTTAAGTGAGGTTGGAAACATGTAGACTTTAACAATTACTGCAACTGCATCCAATCTAAAACCACATTTAGTGATACATTTACATGTATTTTACATTATAAAAAAACATAATGCTGCTTCTGTGAAGTGGCAAATCAAATTATTTGAAAGAACAGAGCTAACGAATTCTATACAAGAAATGTTAATTTGAAATAATTAAATCTTAGAAACATAGATGATTTAACCATAAAGAAAATTTTAAATCATTTAGAAATAACTTAAATGCTACCTGAATGGCAACACAGGTAAGAATTAGAAAGACTAGAAATGGAAGAAAGGTGCACCAAATCACTATATGGTAATGCCTCTCTGAGGTTTGATATCTGATTTGAAGGAAAGGCAAGTTTCTAAGTAAAATCCTGGCAAGGAAACGATAGTGATGTTGAAGAACAGAGTGAGCAGGTGCTCCTTACAGAGACAGACCTGCAGCTCTTCCTTTAATAGGAGTCTTTGTGCAGGAAGGGCTCCCAACACTCACAGAGCATCATCTCTGCTGCCTGACACTCTTCAGCCCCTGCTGTTGGGAAAGAGGGCACAGAGCTGCTTTTCCCTGCAATCACCCGTGTCAAACTCACAGATGGAAGATGCAGGAAGCACTTCTTTGSAGAGGAACAAGAGTCAGCCTTTCATTTACCATGGTCTTTAAAGTGACAGCTCTGGTTTCCACTGAATTACCCCTGTAACGGAGGTTTTCTGATCTACCCAGAATAACAAATACAGATTTAATTGATATTGGAAAGCATTTTCATCCTACTTACGCCTCCAGAGRAGTCAATTAATGTACACAGTAGTCTGAATCAAATGAGTCAGACRAGCAACTGTAGAAAAAACAGCAATAGAATCCAAAAGATGTAACAGCAGCATACACAGCTGGTTGGCAGGAAATTTAACACAGGAAAACATATGGAAAATATAGAGCTTGGGAGGTGACCCAACTGCAAATGTCTAGAAAATATATCAGACTCATCACAGTGGTCAGCATCAGCTTGAGAAGCTTCAAGAATGGAATGATGATACAGCCATTTTCACCTGAGCTCACCACAAAGAAAAGCAAGTCCAATATGATTTAACAAGTCTGTGGCAAAGTATCTGCTGGTAATTGAGTTTGAATCTTCCCTGAGTTTTATGTTTAAATTTCTACAAGATTTTATKACTCAGGTTTCAATATTCAAGAAGCAAATCAAGATATAGGCCCAGTTCCTTCTCTTCCTTTCCATTACCCCAAAAAGGATCAACAATCCTTGAAAATGGAGAATATGAAGTTGCAATCTTCATATGATGATGATTCAGACTAGATATACGGAAGATTTTTTTTTTTTTTAAATGAGAGTGATGAAACAGTGGAAGAGGCTATCCAGAGGGATGGTGGATGGCCCATCTCTGGAAACATTCAAGGTCAGCATGGATGATGTTCTGAGCAGCCTTGACATGGGCTTGGAGAAGGTGACCTTTAAAGGTCCCTTCCAACCCAACTATTCTATGATTTAAAAAACAAACAAACAAACAAACCAGAACAAATCCAAACCTACCATATTTGGCATATAACATGAAATTTAAAGAAAGATTTGGCCACAGTTTGGTCTGGAGAGCCCCGGGGAAGCTCTGCAGCCAGCCTCATGGAGTTCACTCTAATTGAATAAACAGAATTCTCCTCTTGAGTCACCAAATCTCCAAGGGATTGCAATGGATCCAACAGATACCACAGTCATGGAAAAACAGCTTCTGCTGCACTTCTGTACTTTGCTCTAGGCTCTCTAGTATCTCCTGAGTAATACCAAGCAAAACCAGAGACTMCCAGTGCCTGTGTCCACCCTGGAATCTCTCCGTGACAGAGAATTCAACAGCATAAGGGGAGCATGGATCAACTTCTCCTTTGTTTTTTCCAAGCAGTTGTGGACAAGAGGACGATCAGGCCTTCTCCTCTCATCACCTTCTGCTGACTGAAAAGTTGTAAGAGATTTAACCAAACAAGGCTGCTGGAATTGGAAGAACTCCATTACAGATTTTCTGGTTTACAAAGTAAAAGCAAAGATGCTGCACTACAAACAGCAGTTCCAATAACTATTTATCCACCTGCTTCACAGAGTCAATGCTGAATGCAGTCATAGAGAAAGTTCTGCATGGAAGTTTTCATCTTCATGTTTTGAGGTTTATTCCTCATGGCATTAATCATGCAGTATCTGATTCTGATGAASTCATAATATTGCGTGCAGTGATTCAAGAGGAATCTCGTAATACCACAAAAGAACACTCATACCTTGTAAAATCAGTGCTTCACTATCAGATCCTAATTAAAGATGGAGTGTTTCTGTGGTCCCATTTSTAAAATACTTTCGTTTTTATGAAAAACTGATTCTGAACTAAATTCAGCAGTTCAGACCCATTTTTGATTCTTATAAATGAAAATAATTATATAATATTTGGCTCCCTTTAATAGATAAAATATGCAGGTCCATTAAATATGAATCTGTTTTCTCACTGCTGGACAAACAACAAGAACAGCTGTCAGCTCCTTCCCTTCTCCCCAGAGCAGTGTCAGTGCAGTAGGACGAGCTCTCTGATCCTCTCCTATTTCATTCCCTRTCTATTGCTTAAAGGATTGTAAACCTGGTTATCGGATCAGAGTTGATCTGTGTAAAAAATATAAAAATAATGTAAAGTTTTGCCTGGTGTTCCACAGTGTACCCTGTGTCAATCCTGTAGGCTGGTAAACTTCTGCAACAGTTATTGGRATTAATTTACTCTGCCCACTGGATTGGATTAGCACACTCATTAAGGCTTTTGAATTCTTGTTCATGATCAGAAATTTGCCACAGGACTTGGGCCATTCTGTTACACAGCTGAAATACCTAATGCATGAAAAAGAATATTGAAAACACCACAAGTGAAACAAAGTGCATGAAAATATACCCCAGGCAGTGGTGGCACTCTGACACCTAAAGACCTTAAATTCCCTTTGATGTTAGAGGAAAGACTTCAGGTAACTGCAGGTCTAGTCTTCTGAAATTACTTACAGAGTAGTTGATAGCATTGTTTTTCTGAAGTGAAATTGAATTCAATAAAGAGAAAAAACCCACAAATTAAATAAAAATTCACAGGTTTTTTTTTCCATTGCTGAAAAAACATCGATAGAAATAAAAACATGTTAAGAGTCTTCATGAACTTTAAAATGGTAAAAGATGATATATGGTAACATAACATCAAAATTAATCTCATTATTATGAGTTTGCCTTCATTCATTAAAATATGTTTCTTTCCAATCAAAAAGAAAAAAATAAATTAGTGAATGGATGAGATCTGAGCCATGGCAATACAACTCTCCATCTTAAAAYACTATAAACTATAACCTACCAAACTATTTTATACTATCCCATGTGATGGATTTTTGGAACAAAATGTTCTTCTGTCTGCAGGCCCACCATGTGTGTAGAAGTTCTGAACAAACATCAGAAATTTCACCACTAGAGCTGTATGAAACTTTTGTTTCCAATTCAAAATATATTCCTTTTCTGTAAYGTACTTTTTATTTAAAATTCTGACTTTGATTTTTTTTCTCCTTGGAGTATCATGAATTACAATTCGAAGAGCTTCCCCTGACAAACAAAAAATCCCACAATCTACCCCACCCCACCCCCCTAAAAAGAAAAACCCAAACCYCCAAAGATAATTCAACCTTATTTAACTTTCCAATTTTGCATGTGTGTGAAAGTTTTTACATTTCACACTGAGTGCATTTTTGCATTCAGCACAGATTTGCCACTCTGTGAAATTCATCCCAAAACGGTCAAAGTGACAAATTACAAGTGCTTTGTGATAAGTGCCCCATTTTCATTAAGCATAATGGATACTTTTTGCACAAGTGTGTATCTTGGCAAATGTCTTTTCTGCCTCAATTCTCCATCCCCAGGGGGCCACTTTTAGATTCAAAATTAAGTACACAGCACATTGATGGTTTATTTCTGAGAAGTTCCTCATTTAGTCAATAGTATCCTGGCCCATTATACGTTGAAAATATGCAAACTTGTCAAGCTTTAAACACTTCTGTAGCAAATATTTCTTATCTGGCCCATCTGAAAGATTTATGAAAGCAGGTTAAATTTAGGTTTTAGTTCTAATGTTCCATACAGCTCTTTCTAGAATATACAGCCATCATTTTGGATTTGTTCCTTTGGAAACAGATTGTATGTATTCACGTCTACTTTCTGACTAAGAAAACATCTCTCAGTAAAGCTTCACTGACTGCACATTTTAGGAACAGGACCCTCRGCTTGCAGGCTCGAGGGCAGCATTCATTGCTGAGGTGGCTCAGCACCCTGCTCTGCACAGCTAAGGTCAGCAGAACTCCACTGATTTCTACAAGAAATTACATTTTAAAGCACTGTCTGGAAGAATTGAGAGCCTGCCTTCCTGGGGAAATGCTCAGGATTTATCCCCATTGCAGTTTACCTTATTGACATCCATTCTCAACTTCTCATTGTTGGCACTGGCAGCTTTTTCTGCTGCTTTCTTTTGACGCTGAGGTCCCCTGCCAAAGAAGATGTAGTTGACCAATGCATACTCCAGCAGAGCCATGAAAACGAAGACAAAACATCCCATAAGGTACATATCAATGGCTTTCACATATGGAATTTTGGGGAGAGTTTCTCGGAGATGGGTGTTAATTGTTGTCATTGTGAGCACAGTTGTGATTCCTGGAAAACAGAATTGACAAGTCTAGTGATTGAAATAATTTTAATTTTCTAGCATAATAATTCATACTATTCAAATGCTGGAGTTGAAAATTCATAGATTTTTTTCCTCTTAAAAAAAAAAAAAAAAAAAAAAAGAGATCTGTAAGCTCTGTCCATGTTCATAAAATCCTAGAAAGGTTTGGGTTGCAAAGGATCTTCAAACTCTATTTCCAACCTCTCTGCCATGGGCAGGGAACCTAGACCAGGCTGCTCATAACCCCATTCACCCTGGCCTTGGACATTTCCAAGGATGGSGCAGCCACAACCACAGGCAACATGATCCACTGTCCCACTACACTCACGGTGCAGAATTTCTTCCTAAGATCCAATCTAAATCTACCCACAGTCAGTTTAAGGCAGCTTCATCTTGTCCCTCTCCAGCTCTTGTAGTCCTTTTACACTCTCAAAGGTGCTCTAAGATCTTCCTGGAGCTCCTCTGCTCCAGGCTGAACAATTCCAACACTCTTCCTGTCTTCATAGGAGAGGTGCTCCAGCCACACAGAGATCTTTGTGACATTTCTGCAGCCTGTCAATGTCCCCCCGGATGGCATCCAGAGTGTGCACAGCTCCCCAGAGCTCGGTGAGTTGCTGAGGGTGCCCTCAATCCCACTGTCCGTGTCACTGACAGGGATGGAAGCAGCACCACTGCCCACACAGATCCCTGAGGACACTCCTCACTGCTCTGCATTGGACATCAATGTGTGGATGATGAGTGTGACCATCCCGCCAACTCCTTATCCACTGAGTGCTCTATCCAGCAAATCCATGACTGCAGTTTAGAGGGAAGGATCTCATTCATGACAGTGCCAGGGGTGGGTGACAACTGTTGCTCTTCCCTCATTCCATCAGTGCTGGAACCCTGTTGGTGAAGGCCACAGATTGTGTCAGGCACAACTTGCCCTTAGTGAAGCCAGGCTGGCTCTCACCCATCCCCTCCTCACTTTCCAYGTGCCTCAGTGTAGTTTCCAGCAGGATCTGCTCTGTGACCTTGACAGGCACCAATGTGACACTGACCATTCCACAGTTCCCTGAGTCTTCCTTCTTCTCCCCCTTTAAAATGGGGGAATTTGCTTCCACTCTTCTGGCCAGAGAAACTTCACCAGACTGCCACGGCTTCTCAAACACGATGGACAGAATTTCAGCCAGTTCACTTGCCAGTTCCYTGCAGATGCATCTCATCAGTCCCATGGACTCGTGCYYGGGGTCCTCAGGTTCCTYAGATGGTCTCGAACAGGATCCTCTAATGGATGGTTCTCCATTCCCCAGTCCCAGCCTTCACCTCCTGCAAGTGGGGCCATGTGTCTGGAGCACTTGTCCATGAGAGCAAGGCTTTAAAAAGGCATCCAGCACCTCAGTCTCCTCCAGATCCCAGGAATCCAGGCCTCCTCTTTGCTTCCAGAGAGGGCTCCTGTTTTCCCTAAACATCTTTCAGCACTAATGTACCTATGGAAGCATTACTGCTTGCCCTTGATGTCCCTGGACAGATTTAGCTCTACCTTGGGGCTTTAGCTTACCTAACCTGACCCCTGGCTGCTCAGACTCTCTTTGTGTACTCCTCACAGGCCATCTGACCTTGCCACCACCCTCTCTAGGCTTCCTTTTTGTGTCTGAAATTTTTCGGGAACATCTTGTTCAGTCCTTATGTTGGACTTGGATTTTTTTGCATAACATAAAAAACATTACACCTGTAATAAACTGAGCTCAGTCAAACAAACAGGAGTTGGATTCCATGAGTGTATTTTTAACCAGCTAAACTGAAACCTTCTGTAATGAGTCTCAGTTAAAAATTACAGGCTACAGTCACTGTTACCTTGCTTTCCTCCAGCATTTTCAGAATGTCTGCAGTCTCAAATTCTTAAGGCAAWATGCTACACAGAAAGGTCTGGTATAATTCAGACATATTCTGYAACATTAAAATGTCAAATTCTCAATGGCATCATTTTATGGGGACTTACTTATTTTAGCTACACAAGAGCTGTACTGGCAGGAATCAGTCTGATTTAGACAAAATTTGGCAATAGATACAGATATTTATTTTTGTAACACGTTGGATCTTATGATGAGGGGCACAGAATAAACAAACATGGGACTCGTGATGAGATGCAAGAATACTCCAGAGATTAATTAGGGAAACAGTTTTGCTGTTGGAATGTAAGGTAACACTAAGGGAAAAACAATCATAGGATMTTACAATCATTTAGGTTGGAAAAGACCTTTAAGTTCATCRATCCAACCTCTAACCCATCACTGCCAACTCCACCACYAAACCATGTCCTCAAGCACCACATCTACACATCTTTTACATCCCTTCAGGSATGGYAACTCCASCACTTYCCTGAACAGCCTCTGCCAGGCTTTTTGGGTGAAAAAATTTCCCYTAGGATCTAATYTAAACYTCCMCTGGCATAGYTTGAGGYTGTTTCCTCTYGTCCTATCACTTGTTACGTGGCAAAAGAGACCAACCCCACCGGGCTGCACCCTCCTGTCAGGGAGTTTGTGAGACAGAAGGTCCCTCCTGAGCCTCCTTTTCTCCAGGCTGAGCCCCCCCAGCTGCTCCAGCCCTTCCCCAGCTCCGTTCCCTTCTCTGGACACACTCCAGCCCTGCAATGTCCTTCTTGCAGTGGAATGCCCAGAACTGGAYAGAGGATTTGAGGWGCAGCCTCCTCCCTCCATYTAAGRACAAGTGACCTATACAACMCTAGTAAAACTTMATTTAATTCCTGAAAGGAAAGGCAATTTATAATCCATAACATCATGCTGAATGTGTGTTCTAGGCTGCCGTGGGGCAAAAGCAAACCAAGTGCATTCTTTTTGGAGAAAAAAAACAAGCAGCAAAAGAGCAACAGAATGTGTTGAGACAATTAGGCCAATTCTGGTTACAATGATTATACAGTTAGCTGATTCAGACATTAAATCACTTWAATTTTTATTTAAATTGAGATGATTTAATTGCTGATTCAAATAATACAAAGCTTAACAAGACAGATTTAAAAAGATCTAACAGTTATTTCTTTTAATTTTCAAAACATGCACTGTCCACTAAGCCAGAAGGTAGAAAAAGCATTCAGCTAAAGCACACTGCATGAGATGTGTAAAAATGCCTACCTAAAGCAACTCTTGCAGCTGAAGCATCATAATTAATCCAGAAGGAAACCCAGGACAGGATAGTGATCAGAATAGAAGGCATGTAGGTCTGCAGAATGAAGTAACCAATGTTTCTCTTAAGTTTAAAGCTGAGAGACAGCCTTGGGTAGGCACCTAAAAGAGAATATTTGGTATGGCCATAATTCATTTGTATAATGCCTGAAAACATTTTTCTTTTCTATCATCTTGGTTTTATTGTTTCATTCAACACAGAGTTCACTCAGAGCTGAAAGATCCAGGATATTCAGCTAGAGAATTTCTAGCAAGAACTGGGATTAAAGAATCTTTTGTTTTATGGGTAAAAGGATGCTCTAGGTGCATATCTGCTGGTAATCATAACATTCAAAGATCAACAGCCAAAATACGTGTCAGAGCAAAGCACAGAAATGTCTCTTTCCTGACCAAATGCCAACTTCAGCCTAACTCTTATCCTAAACTTCTTTCCAAGAAATGYAACACTTGGCTTTTGTTGCTGGACACCAGAAATACTGTAGTGTATGAAACACTTGTTGGAATGGATGCCTAGAAATCATTCTTCAAGTCCCATTTCTGCTTGATTTTAAAGAATTTGGGACACATGATCCTTCTACAGTCCCTCCAAAGATGATTTCTATCCATACCTGGAAAGTGAGTTCTGAAGATTTGCTTTTTAACATATCTAACAGGTTTCTCAATTAGGTAGAAAACATCACATCATCACATAGTAACAGCCAATCCAACTCCTGCCTCTCTTGAACAATTCAAAGTCATTGAAATATGTTAGCTGTTTCTTGTTTCTTGGTTTTTTTTTTTGGGTTTTTTTTTTTTTAATTTTTTTTTTTATTTCATTAAATCCAATCTGATTTTCTGCTCCTTCTCAGAAAGCATCTTTTCAGCCTTCAGAAAGTCATGCAGTTGCTAGAACAGGCTAAACTGAAAATCCTGGAACAAGCATTTTAAAGATTTTACATCAAAGGAAAAAAAATTAGTCTAATGCATCCACAACTTGGTGAAAGGAACATCTAAATATAGGGAAAAAGGGTTTCTAAATTTCCTACAGGCTGGGTTTTTACTTGTTGAGTTTATAATAAGATACAGCTCCTTTGATGAGCTTTAACAAGACAGATTACTGTGCCCTCTTCATATGGTAATGAATGATGTCTTAGACACTCTGGAAGCTGTAATAAAAACTGCTTTCACAATTCACAATTGCTGCTYTATTTTATTTCTGTTTCTAAAATCTTTGCTCCTCAACCGTTCCCTGAGAATTAATCCAATTTTAAAAGAATTCCCCTTTTAAGTGCCCCTCCACAAACCTGTAGAGAAAACAACATTCTTGGTGATAAGCTTGTAGTCTACAATGGAGAACTGTGGCAGTTCGATCTTTGTCACTCCTGTGACTGCATTATCACCCCCACGCCAGTAAAACTCAATGTCATCTGTTGTGTATCCATCTGGAAAAACAGGAATAAACAAATGAGAAACACATCTCTTCTGACATCATGGGCAACAACCCATTAACCCACAACATATTTAATATATTTCTAAAATGAAACCATTTATAAACATACAGACACAGGTCGTTCCAAATGTGACTTCAAAAGGCAATCCTAGGTATATTTCAATATTTGTTGGGTTTGTATTTTTTTTTTTTTTAAGATATATAACACAAATGTATCAATAAAGCAAACCTTTAAAACCAATTAAGACTACACACATCCCATCCCTAGATAGCAACTTTTGGCAACTTGTTATCTCAAGGCCTGATCAAATGGCATGAGTTTGCTAAAATTTCTGTCCCTGAGCTAAAACACTCTTCATGTTCAGTTTTCAGTTGTAAAACCAGCAGAATTCTTTTTCTAAAATGGCTTGAATGCAGTAAAAGAGAACCACATTCAGTGAGGCTTGCAAGAGGCCCTGCAAGAAGCAACTATAGCAGATGCAACAACACCCATCACTGGCAAAAAAACACCCACAAGAAACCAACCAAAAAAAAAAAAAAATCCCACCACCCACAAAGACACCCCAGAACATAGCACATGTTCACACAGTCATAAAACATATGCATGGAAAAGGAATCTGGGTTCCCAAATGGCAGTTCAGCCAACTTGCACGCTCCAGAGTTGGTGCAAAGATATGATCGTGAGACATCACAAATAAATCTATTGCAAAACCAGGAAATAAGATATCCATTAATGTTTCATTATAAAGATTTTTGTTTTGGAAGGTGAAAATAAAATCAATTCAAACATAGAAAAATGACTGCGACTTTTTTGCAAACTCAGRTAATAGGTATTATATACATAACCTTGATTTTAACTTCTCACCCACAGACAAAGGAAAAAATTGTATAGAAACACCATTTTAGACTGATCAAATAACACTTAATGCATAGAATAATGCATAGAATCTATAAAACTTCCTGTGCATCAATAATTTTTGATAATCCAAGTAGAATCCAGGCACATGGCAGTAGCASAAGGCGAGTCAGTTTGAAGACATGAACCAAATAATCTGTAAAAACACTGAAACAACCATAAAAATCTCTCTGACACACACAAATTGTTAAAATATTTTGGTAGATAAATTCCTATAGTATGTTGATASCAATTCCAGAGTTTTGTATAAGTGAGACTTTTACTTTACTGGTCACAATTCAATGTTCAAAAAGGGGGGGGACAGTTTATTTGTGTTTCCTTGCCTAGCAACACTTCATATTTGTCAAGTCTCTCTCTAGGCTTTTGAAGAGACAAATAAAATAAAACTAAAATAAAATAAAATCTAAAATAAAATAAAGAAGAATAATTATATTTACTGATCTTGTAATTATATTTACTGATCTTGAGACATAAAAGCAACTTACTGCACTCCAGGTTATGAAAAATATAAAAGAATATCCTTAGAGAGTTTAGGAAGGTTAATACTGTTTCATTGTGAGGGCTCATTCTTTGTGAYACTGCCAAATTTTGCTGATATTCTGACATCTGCCCTGCCCTCCAATGGCAAGTTSCAGATTCTGATACCATTAACTGAACTTGGTGGCATGAAACAAGGTAATTTATTTATTTGGAGGTAATTTAACTGTTAAACTTCACAGCTTATAATTTATTTTTTTTTTTAATTTCTGAGGAAAACAAATGCTACTAAGTTTCAGCAAGGAAAAGTGCCACTTTTCTATGCAAGAGAGTAAAAAATGCTTTTAAAAAGCCCAAATGGCTCTGTATTTGGTTGTATTTTTTGGAATATCTGAACTTTTTTGTCCAACCRCCTGTGAACAGTTTAGCCTTGAACTGTCCCATCATAGCAGGGYTCACACGAGAGAGCTCCAGGATTTACATTCCAGCAGGCTGCCAAAAGCATCAGCATCACCCTCTACCAGGAAGATGGGATTCAGCTTCTCCCTGGATTCCCTTAACACAAAGCAAATATTGACAAGGACTTCTCAGGAGAGAGAATCCTTTAAAACTCTYACCCAAAAGTTCAAACTGAAAATTCCAAACCCTGCAGCTCTGGGGGGCTTTGGGGAGAATGGAGGATTCCCTGCTTGAGGGACTCACACTGGGCAAATGATAAKCTGAGATTGCCCCTGAATGACAAGATTTGTTAGTAGGTATTGATAAGGAGAATTTCAGGAATTCTCTTTAAGCTTTCATTAAAATGCTTCTCTCTCTCCTTCCTAAAAGGATAAATTATCCCATTCATTTCATGGCATAGAGAGAAAAGAATATTACAGYCATCTGCACATGAATGCTCTTGTGTACTGCTAAAGTACCCAAAGATAATTGGATATACATCTAATATCTGCAAAACATCTGCCAAAAGAGAGAATGGGCCTATTCATGTCTCTAGTGGATGTTTTACAGKAAAGTCCAATTACCTGTGGCTACAATAAACTCCTTCTGCAGGTATCTGGGACTCAAAACAACCCTACTTACAAGTTAGAAGTATTTAAAGACCAACCAATTTAAAGAAGTAATAAGCAGTCTAGAAAAAAAAAAAACAAACTGTAGCTCTTGACAAAAAAAACCAAAAACATAAATGTCAGTTCAATATTTCTAAAATATCAGATGATATGTTGGGTAAAGCAGAAAGGAAAGCRTACTAAACCCAAAAATGTTTCAAGTATTCTCTGCAAGAATATGAGTTTAGCACAGAGCACTATTTGATTTAGACTGTAAAACAACTGTTGGTTTACTGTAGATTAAATTATATGTAGCTCTGCTGCCAGCAGAGAGAATTGATTGATTGCTTTTCCCTCAATCATTTATATATCATCAGCAGCACGATTTACTTCACGTTCASAAAGTCCAATTTCTCATTTGTGTCATGCATCACACACTGGCAGCCAAGCAAATCAATACATTGTCCTGGTAATATGGCACCAATCCTGGGAGAAGCAAAGCATTCCCGACTGCCATTAACAGGGACAGGGAGTTTATCATCGTGCAAACGTTGAGGAACAACAGATGATGAAGCACTGTAGAGGAAAAACAAACAACTGGTAGAACATAAAAGAAAAACCCCTTCAYGCAGAAACTAAAAAACACTGATTTTTTATTTCTCAGCCTATTCAAGAGAAATCAAAAATAGGGAATTTTTTAAATGCAAACAACCTAAAATGGAAGCTGTGGCATTACTGACTGAGAAGGAAAATATTTAGACAYGAGACGGTTATCAGAGACACCATGCAGTGGAAGAAAAGAAGCAGATTTTTCTGAAACACTCAGGATTTATCAGAATTCACTGGCTCACAATGCTGCAGTTTGTACATGACAGCTGAGAGACATTTGACATCTACACATGTCCAGTGTGGGAATTGAAGGGATCCACAYTGCTGACACTGGCAGCACCTGCAGGCTGAAGATAAGGCACCTGCTGATTTGTTGGGTGGAGAAATGATGTAAAACAGGGAAAATGTTATAATAAAAAAAATAAAACAAAGGGAGGATTCTGAGGCCATGCCCTGACCCCCTCTGCTCTGAACCATCAGCAGTTTGTGTTGGGCAAWACACACACATCACTGAGCTCAGGAGAAGCACTCCACCACCAACAGGAGACACAAGGATCCTGCTGGGAACTGTCTGGATCCCAACTCCAGCTGCTCCAGCTTACCCAAATAAATGTTTCTGTGGTTATAACCTCCACCTGTGACTCTGAGCATTGTCAGCATGGAATTATCACCAAGCACAGTTCAGCTACTTCGAAACTTTTGCTGAGCTGGTCTGGAGAACTTGGTGAAAGCTGGAATCTCACCAGCCCTCTGATCACCTTTGAATTTYTGCCTTTTGCTCACCAACACAAAACATGTCAGAACTAATTTTACAGCAGAAATTAAATACTACCACAGAATTAAATACCATTAGCAAATACCACAAAGCTACCATTTACAAGAAGAACACCATATACCTGCTGTGGAATAACAGAGTTGGATTGTACCCATGGTATTTTTGGGGRAAAAAAAWATYATAAATWYACACTACTGTATACAAAAATCTATGGACTCATAGAGAGGGAATGAGTACCAAGATATTTAATTTCTCCTGCTGCTATCAAATGGATTTTCTTTTCCTAGCCACTCACAATAAAGTAGGTTCCCAAAATAAAAGGGAGAGAACTCATGTAGGATATCCATATGCAGCTGAATGCTTTGATTACAAATATACAAAATATTCCTAGGTAACAATTGTAACACATAGTAATCTATGTAAATGCAGGTCACAGATTTTCAGACTAATTGAAGAACTTGACATAGGCAGGCCCTGGAAAGGAGATGAAAGCTATAAAGAAATAGTAAGTGATTAATCCTGTTTGTATAAGAGACTGAGCAATACCTTTAGTAGCAATATCTATGCATTTCATGTATTTTTAAACATAGAACCACCACTACCTCCATTTTCAATATTTTCTTWCAGCAGTTTTGCATTTGCACAAGAGTAAACAGCACAAATTACTTTAAAAATGCTAAGTAACATGCAAAGTACATTTGGAATTCTGAAATTTTTCAGATCACTCAAACTTGTTCCACTGCATCACTTCAGCCTTTACCATCCACTTACTCATTCAAAAACACAGCCAGAAAGAGGAAGTTAGAAGAGTTTCTTTGAATTTGCAGGGATGTTTAAAGCTGAGGAGAGCACAAGACATGAGGTGCTGAAACCAGTGGGGTGACACAAGGGTGAGTGGGAAAAACAGAGTTTGTGTGCCAGAGCAATTGGAAAAAAGTGTCAGAGCAACTGGAAAAAAGCACATCATACTTGTTTCTCTCTCCTCTTTCTCATCCCCTCCAAATTCTGTCTTTCTGCATAAAACATTAAAATTCTTCTTACATTTCACTTCAAAGGCTTTTTCCCCCGAGGCTCTGAGGATTTGGATACAAAGAGGATGTACAATTTTCTGACTGCAGTGAAACTCAATTGATTTTTAGATTAAATTGGTAACGTTCTCAAAAAACAAT